CTTTGCTTGTTGGTCCAAAATTTGACAAAAGCACCCTGTATTTTTATTAGATAGCACAGCTAATTAAGGTATTTCACTAGGAGAAAATTCTTATTTTCCTACTTTATGTACACAATATTGGTGTAATAAAATATACCAAAAATTAATATCATTTGGTATGATATCTTTGCTAAAAAAATGATTTCAAAATAATCTCTAATCCTATTTATAACCATATTTTTGATGATGATGACATAATAATTATTGATTATTATCTGATTTCACTCAATCATGAATTATTATTGTACACACATCTTTATTAATTTAAGTCACTAAAATGGGTTGCTAAACTACTACAACACATGAAACAAAAATTAATGATTTACATGCTAGCTGTTCCTGCTTTGTTTCCTACTTCTTCATAAGTAGGATTATTATTATTGGTAGTAGTAATCATGAAAGTGTTGAGCTCATATGCTTCATTACGTGTAGTAGGTAACTCTTGTTGATGTTGTTGTAATGAGGTAAACCCTGTAATTAACGATTAATGATAAACACTGCACATTATATATATATATATATATATATATATATACTTACTATATAACTCCCTTTTGTATGTTATAACAAGCACAATGAGAATTATTATTATTATCAATAATACAATAAAAACACTCAGTGATGTTGCTGTGATAACTATAATAACACATATAATATGTATTATAAATATGTAATACTAACCAGCACTGACATTAAGATGGCTTGCTGCAGCAGTAGTAGCAGTAGTAGCGATATTAGAATAATCTGTTAATGTTGCAATATGTAAACTGTAAACACTGTATAGTAACATTTATACTTACCAAATGCTAGTATAAATGGCTCACTACTGCCAGCCTCATTACTAAATACAATACTTATATTACACTGTTGATACTGAAGGACTAATATTAATCCTGTTATATTATTTGGTTCTTTAGTATACTCTATTAAGTAAGAGCTCCTATACACAGGACCAGTATATCACACTGCAGTGTACAGTAACTGCAGCACTATTGGGGGCTTCACTAGCACACTCTAGAATCACCTAATAAGGAGTATTACACTGTAATAACATACACTATGAAACATTTGTTGTTGCATGCAACACAGTTTATACAGGAGTTGATGGAGATTGCAACAATACAATGCATGAAATAGAAGTGTTTCCTATTTCATGTAGCATGTTGAGTCAAGCTTTTTTGACTCCTGTATAAACTGCTGCATGCAGCAAAGTGTTGCATATAGTGTATGTTGTGGTTTACTGGTATATTGAATCTTATGATAGTAAAAGTGTTTCGTGTAAAAGTATATTCTATAGAAACAGTATCTCCATTGACTGATCTAGGAACTGTGTAAATATATAAATTATAAAACCATAACTTAATACTATTCTATTTTACTTCTTTGATATGAGAATGTTTTATTATTAGATATTCCTTCTCCTAATTCATTAACTCCTGTTATGACATATGCATAACTGTGAATAAATAAATTATTATCCACAAAGTGATAACTGGTAGTATTTACTGATATAGTATCCACTAGACTACCAATAATACCATCATATATTCTTAGTATGTGATACAGTGTAGATACTCTGTCATCAACTGTAGGAGCGTCCATGTTGTATGATGACTTGCATCAATAGTAGAACAGTTGTCAATTGAAGAATCATTATTAGTAACTAGCCCAAGAATACCTAAAAGTATACAAATGAACATGCAGTGTGAAACATGTTTACCAAATCCAAAAGAAGGTGTTGGTCGGAATTTTTCTCCATTATTACTCAATGATACATTAACAATAAATGCATTTAAATTATAAGGGACAGTTATTACTCAGTAACCATCAGTTGATCATTAACTTGTACTATTATACTGCTTTCCTGTCATTATCACGAGTATTTAGTATAATAGCTGTTATACCATTAGGATACTCTCCTTTGCATAGCTTACAGACCTAAATCAATTGAGATTGTGTTTCATTCATAATGCATCTGACTTACATTAATACTATTTAATGATAAAATTTATTAGCTGTTTGTTGACTACTGGTACCACTGATACATTTGGAGTGAAAAAAGGAATGAAAGATACACTGTGAACATATACATAAAGTCATAGTGATACTAACCTGTTTCATAAAAAAAACTGGTAAAAGCTAGGCTATCCTACACCATAAAACCTTGTTTCATGAAATATCTTTTATACAGGAGTCACTGGAGCTTGAAACATTGACTACTATATAGTATCCAGTGACAGGTATTATCCAGTGTATAAGGAGCTGTCCATGTTGATAATACACTGGATCCATTTATAAAGGTATAATCCAGATCAACAACACTATCCAATAGGTCTAAAGGTGAAACTTCAAAAATAATGTCACACCAGCACTAAAATTAATTGCATTAATATTGCTAGATCACTGAACAGGTTCATGCATCAGTGCTAGCTCTGCATCTCACTTCAGTATTATCATTGTTCATTAAGCTATTATACTTGTAGCTCTGCTCTTCTAATACCATCATGAACATTTAATATACACTGGCTCTATACCATTATAGTTATAAATGACAATAAAATTCGAGAGTAAACATACGATACTTAGTTACTTACTATTACTATGAGCACAATCAATGTAGTACTAAAGCAAAAGAAGGAATATCAGATAGGGCGTAGGTGTGACTATTTTATAACTAGTTAATAACGCATTACTTAATGCTCTCCACGATTTTGTCATGACCGAGGTCATGACCATTCTGTCCTTTATCCTATTACTTCAGTTAAGTCGGAGGTTAAGTCATTGTGCTAGTAAGTATCACTAATCATTATGGCCTCGCATTTTGTTGTCATTATAATAGCTATAACAGTACAGCCAGTGTCTATTAATACAACACTCAACTCTACTGTTGTCTTCTTTTGTGAAGGAACTGGTGATGAACTTTCTTTCAGAGTTAACAATGAACCAGCTACTAATACAGATGTTATAGTTAAAGGATTTAGTGTAACATCAAGTGTTCATAATGGTACTAGAAGAGCAGAGCTACAAGCAATAGCTTATGAACATAATAATAATACTGAAGTGAGATGTAGAGCTAGTACTGATGAACCTCTTCAGGTAGAGTTCAGTGATACAGCAATATTAATGATCCAAGGTTAGTGTGTTTGTGTGTCTACATGTCTGTATGTATATTCACCTACATAATTGTACCTTCATCACCAATACAAACTTTTTATGACATTGTCATTAATTTCATCAGTGTATTGCTGGAACTTATTGGAGCAAAAGAGCCTTTGTTAACTTTTATTATATTGTCTGCATCCATAATTTTATGCCTTTCAAATAGTAGAGAGTGACCACATGAGAGTAACAGCAGATAATTGATAACAAGCCAACATAGCAACGTGATAGCTTATAGATATACTACTACTATAAAAATAATCTTTTTTCTTTGAGATTCAAGTAATGGTATTGAATAAATTAATATTAATGAATATACCAATTCATTTCCCTGTATGGTGTTATGCCCTTTCTTAGGTCTATTGGCTAGTGTTGTTGATCTGGGTTATACCTTTATTAATGGATCCAGTGTATTAGTAACATGGATAGCTCCTTATACACTGGATAATGTACCTATCACTGGATACTACATACTCAATGGATTAGTGGATGTTACTACTACTAACAAGAGTATTACATTATCGGCTACTAATCCTGATCCTTGTACATTAAATAATGTAACAGTTTCTGCTATTAACGATCTTGGAATAGGTTCGTCTAATAATATCAGTTTTTATTATGAAACAGGTTAGTCCTACTATGGCTTCATGTACATGTTCACAGTGTATCTTTCAGTTCCTCTCATTACTCCTCCTGTATCAGTGGTACCAGCAATTGTTGGACAATTGAATATCATTATTAATGTGAGTACATGTCTTAATAAGCTTTTTATGTCTATAGTAGGCAAGAAATCATAATTATGTGAAACAATTAAGGCTTTTATAATAATTAGCCTTTTGTATGCATTAAAATGTCATGGCATAGTAGAATTACATTTGTATGTTGTCACATTGTAAACTATCCTAATTGTATACATGCACCATTAGGTGAGTAAGCTATGCATTGGGGAATATCCTAACAATATAACAGTTATTATACTGAATACTGATAATGAGACACAATATAGTGCCACTAAATCAACACAAATTAATGATCAACTGATGATTACTAGAGTAATAACTGTACCTAATAATTCAAATACATTTATTGTTAATGTATCACTGAGCAATAATGGAGGAGAATTCCTACCTATACCTTCTTTTGGATTTGGTAAACATGTTTCACACTAAATGTTAATTTATATACTTTTAGGTTTTCTTGGACCAGTTACTAACATTGACTCTTCAATTGACAACTGTTCTACTATTGATATAACATGGACTGCTCCTACAGTTGATAATAGAGTATCTATACAGTATTATATACTAAGTATATTTGATGCTATTACTGGTAGTCTAGTGGATACTGTATCAGTATATGATACCAGTTATCAGTTTGTGGATAATAATTTATTTATTCATCGTTATACATATGTTATAACTGGAGTTAATGAATTAGGAGAAGGAAGATCTAATAATAAAACATTCTCATATCAAAGAGGTACAATAGACAATGATTACTGAATAATAATTTCATCCATTTCAGTACCACAATTTGTTACCGAAGTTGGCTCAAAAATAATAACATTTGATCAACATACTTCTACTGCTTTATTTAATATATCAGTAATGCCTTGTTATTTATATTTTACTCTTGTTAATGTGTATTATTATAACAGGTGGCATTGGAGTGTACTGGTGAAGCTCCTGAGAATGTTACAGTTACTGTACAATGTACTGGAGCTGGTGTTATTTTTAACAACATATATCTAGTGGAATATACTACACAATCAATGATTATAACAGGATCAACAATAGTACCACTATATGAACAGTGTAATATCAGTATTGTAATTAGTAATGAGGCTGGCAGTAGTGAACCATTTATACAATTATTTAGTGAGTTATTTCATTCAAATATGTACAATAATAATCATCTATAGTATGTTAACAACACCACGCATACAAAATACAATCTTTCTGCATTTCTTTTTTTACTTTTTACTGGTACCTTTTTGAACCTAAAATCAAACAATTTAATTGGTCAGTTGTGATACCAGAAATAGTAAAGTAATTATACAATAATAGAAACAAGTACATTTAAAGCATTTAGCTGCCACAATTGCTGTATTAACTATATAACCATAAAATGTATTAAATTTTACAAATGCTAAAGCAAATGAATATTAATTTTTGTGACATTAAGGCATAATGTACTTTGAGCCTATACGATTTCATTTTAATCATGTGACGTTTAATGCCATGTAATTAAAATACCTATTAATCATGGAATTTGAAAAAGTGATTCAATCCAGTATAATGCAATCTGGTTAATTGAAAACTGTTGCATGGTAGAGTTTTAGTTAATTTGCACCAGTATCATTATCATATTAAATTTTTAGATACTACTGCTAGCATTTTTCCTACAACTGCCACTGAAACCCCCTCATCAACAAGTATGAACTCATACTGTCTTTAGTACTTATACACATATTTATAATAGGAGGGACTATTAATGATACCAATAATTATATTATACCTGTTGTGGTTAGTACAATTAGTGTATGTATTGCACTAGTGCTAGTAATCATCTTGATGGTATGTGCTGTGATCATTGTTACTAAAAAAAAGACAGAACAAGTAAATGGTAAATATCATTTATAATTTTGTTGCAAACAAACTTATGATAAATATTATAGGCACTTCTCTTATTCAAACAGCCAATAAATATCAAGATTTTTTTGAATTAGTAAATAAAGTTCCTATTACCACATCACCTGTAGTGTCGACTGATAATAGACCAATAGATGATGAGAGTCCCTATCATGTTGATATTAGTGAGGTAATCTATTATTTCCTATTGTGATATCAAATTGTTTCCATTGCTGACATCATATCTAGTTTCTTTCTCGTGAGACCATTCCTTCACACATTGTTGAAGTAAGGGCTATTCATGTGACTGTTATACCGTACCATGTTATTATAACGATAGTGAAATTATAATAAAAGATCCTATTAACAATAGAATAATAGTGTTTAAACTTGACATAAACAATTGTTGTAAGGCTACAATAGAGCATTATTATAGATCTCTATTTATAATTCATAATACCAAACTGGTTGTTATTTAGCAATCGATGCAACAACAGAGGGTAACAACTCAAGAGGACAGCGCATCATCAACAGCATCAAATAACATTTATGATCCTGATGATCCTGCCGCTACTGTTAATACCAATGACAGCACTACTCATACTGATGTTGTTATTGCTGAAAAGACTGACGCTCTTACTACACTTACTAATCCACCTACTGCTGTTACACTTGAAGTTATTGGACATGTCAATGCTAGAGTAAGTTGATTTATATTGATGATAAATTTATTATCATTTTCATTAGAAAGGACATGCCAACTTTACTAGCAAAGATGAGGTATTACATTAGATTATATAATAACACATTATTATTTACAACTACAGCAATTGACAGTAGAAGCATCAGAGTGTTCAGAGAAGGAGAGAGAAGAGCAAGCTTTGGTAACAAAACAATGACATTGGACAGTTTTAAGGATCAACATTAGTGATTTTGTTTAATCTCCCCTCATGTTTTTATAGTAATCGTTTTGTATTTCTTTAATTACTGACCCAATTATTTTTTAGACAAATCCCAAAAAAATTAATTTGACTGAAGTCAGCAATATCATCATTTGGGAGCAATTTTAAAAAATTCACAAAAATTCTATTTTAATCAGAATCAGCTCTAAATTTTTGCACAGCATAAACCATGTATATGCATCAGAATAATTAAAGCAACATGGCACAAAAGTAAGAAATAATGATTAAATAAAAATCATAAAAATAATTATGCCAATTATAAGTCTCTACATTATTTTGTCAGGTGTGACCAGC